GTAGACTTGCTTTGATTTCGTCAAGACGTTGTGGAGTTGATCTCATCGCCATATCGATCTCATAGGGGTGAAATCCGACCCCCACATGTCTTCTCTATTAATATATAGAGGATATAGAGAATTATCAATGTTAAATATGAAATTCGGTATGACCATGATTTTTAATTGAAAATGAATGGGTTTGTTGGGTGTCTAATTGGGCTATGCTATTATTTTGTTTAATGGATAATAGTGGATTGTGAATTTTACTAATTTTCATTAAAAAAATTTAAAACCCTCTTAGGATGATACCTAGGATTTTCACCTAGTGTCTCCTCTATTAATATAAAGGATTCGTTTCAAATTCACATTACCATTTTTCATGCGTTTTATTCACTCTAGATATAAAACGAATAATTCCATGTCAATATCAACACATAAAAGCAACCAAGCACATTTTAGACTCCTATATATATGATCGTTGTAAAACATTCACATAACTTGAAGATAACAAACATTACATTTTACTACGAACAAAAAAAGTTTAAAAACATGGCTACGACCACACAACACATGAATCTGATCTTCCTCTTACTCCTCCTCACCTCCTTCGCTATCTCTCCGGCGATCTCAACGGTTCCAAAAGAATGTGAAATCGAGTCAACAGACTCTTGCATCAACAAAACCAAAGCCTTACCTCTCAAAATCATTGCAATCGTCGCCATTCTTGTTACAAGCATGATCGGAGTCACGGCTCCTCTCTTTAGCCACTATGTCCCGTTCCTAAGTCCAGGCGGTAAAATCTTTATGATCGTCAAATGTTTTGCATCCGGGATCATTCTAGGAACCGGTTTCATGCACGTTTTGCCCGATTCTTTCGAGATGTTATCCTCTCCATGTCTTGAAGACGATCCATGGCATAAGTTTCCCTTCACAGGTTTTATCGCTATGTTGTCTGGTCTTGTAACTCTAGCTATCGATTCCATTGCTACAAGTCTCTATACCAAGAAAGCTGTCGCTGACGACAGCGAAGAAAGGACTACTCCGATGATAATTCAAATTGATCATTTACCTATCACAACTAAAGAACATAACTCTACATGCTCAAAACAAGTATTGCGGTGCCGAGTTATCGCCATGGTTAGTCTTCATTACAAGCTCATTTATCTCTTGTTACATATAATACTACAAATTCCAAAATTTTAATATTCATATATTAAAAGATTACATATGTGTAAATGTAGGTATTGGAGCTTGGGATTATAGTTCACTCAGTGGTTATTGGACTATCCTTAGGTGCAACAAATGACACATGCACCATTAAAGGTCTTATTGCAGCTCTTTGCTTCCATCAAATGTTCGAAGGCATGGGTCTCGGGGGTTGTATCCTCCAGGTACAATGTTATTTTATTTTTATCGAAGTCCATTTTGATCTCTTGGTCCAAAACAATACTAAACGAATAGATTAAAAGATATTAATGTGGAATTTTACGTGAACAAGTGTTGCTTTTTGATAAATATATTTTAACAATAAAATATAGAAACATATAACATTTTGAGAAGTAAATACAAATTTTTGTTAACAGGCAGAGTATACAAATGTGAAGAAATTTGTGATGGCCTTCTTCTTTTCGGTTACAACACCATTTGGGATCGCTCTTGGTATAGCCTTGTCGAGCGTTTACACGGACAATAGTCCAACCGCATTAATCACGGTCGGGTTACTCAATGCATGTTCCGCAGGATTGCTCATTTACATGGCCCTTGTTGATCTTCTAGCTGCCGAGTTTATGGGATCAATGCTCCAAGGAAGCGTCAAGCTTCAGATTAACTGCTTCGGCGCGGCTTTGCTCGGTTGTGGCGGAATGTCAGTCCTTGCCAAGTGGGCTTAATCTCTTTGATATCATACTTCCAAGTTCCCAATTCCTATGCAACTGTAATTATCTTCAGTGAGTGTAAATAATATATTTTTCTGTATCACAAAAAGAATGTGGTTTTCAAGCGATTGTGTTTTTTCTTTTTTGTATTTCTATTGTACTGTGAGTTCTTTAATTTAACTACATGTCTATAAATAAAATTCCATCGCATTTAATTTGCGAATTAAGATGCGCACTTTTAAAACTTTAAAAAGAACAAAAGAAACTACAGTTTATTAGTATATATGTTATATAATGTAAAAACCTACGTACATTATATATAAGGCTTAGCACTATAATTGGATAAATTGCAGTGAACAGAAACAAAATTGTAGATAATTGAATTTACGGTCGATCTACCTAGCATGCATACGTGGTATTTTTCCTTGTGAATTTTTGTTTTGATTTGTTTTATGGTGATTCTAATTATCTTGAAAAGTCCATTGCAAAAAAATAACAATGACCCTGAGCTCAACGGCTCTAACTCTCTCTGCCTCCAACAATCAGTGTGCATATATTACAGTAACAGGTATTCCCTGTTTCTTCTGATAAGATCAAAAGAACCATTGTCCCACCAGACGCTCTCCCAAATACATAAGAGCATGTACATCAATGGTCTCTAGATGAGTCTCTC